AAAAAAAAAAAAGGTCAAGATGTGAAAGTGTAAAGAAAAACTAAAATATAAATAGGATTTCTGCGCGGTGCAGGGTGTGAACCTGCTTTATCTTTTAGGATTGTTTCCTAAATGCATCTTTATAAACTTAACTTGCTGTCTCAGCAAGGTAAATTATATTTAAAAGCAAAGACCTGAATCCTGCAGTGTTCAAGGAACTCTCTTTTTGTAAATCACAGATACCTCAACCAGAGAAACGTGAGGTGAGGGGACTTGGGGCTTATGTTTCCATTTTTTTTAGAGCTATGTGGTTTTACCTGAAGAAAGCGGAGTTTGACTTAATAAAAATTTGCACACGCCACAGCAAAGGCCGTGACAATTTGCTGTCTTGAAAATACTGTCCTGACAACTCTGTTTTTAAAAGAACAAACSGAGGGTGAGGGGTTTGGGAGGGCAGGGGGGGTTTGAGGAGGGGATTCACACCAGAGTCGAGCACGGGGTACGAACGCAGGTCTGGATCACTGGGATTGCATCCCCCAGAGGTGGTGGGTCCTCCAAAAATCAAGGATTCTTCTGGATTGCTGGCTTTTAACGAGCCGAGGCGTTCCTKACACAATCGCTGTTTTATCTGCATCTCTTCGTTTCCTATTTATTATTTAATTGGTCATTCCACTTCCAGCCAGGCTGAGATCGATGTGAACTCTGCTCCTTGGAGAAATCTGGACTTACACGCACAGTTGCTTGTCCTTGAAACGAGTCTCACCAGCACACTCGCTGCAAGTCCTGTCTCGCTTTTGTACGCTCCTTTTTTTTTTTTTCTTTGTAATAAAATCCGACTGACCAAGTGACCAGGAGACGGGCCGGGGGCGAGGGCTCTCCACAGCTCCTGTATTTATTAAATATTGTTCCTCTCCGCCTCCTGACCGTGTTGCTGTGTGATTCTCTCAATTGGTTTCAAATTGAGGCAAAAAAAAAAAAAAAAACCAACCAACAAAAAACCTGAAGCTCTACCAATGAATTGTTTAAAAMCCAGACACACTTTTGTATTAAAATTGCTTGCGGTAATAAACGATCTTGCCTCCTACTTTATTCCCCGGTGTTAGCTTTGTGAGGAGCTGGTTATCCTGGGGGGGAAGGAAGGGTAACCCAGGTTATCCCAGGGTGGGGTTTGCACCCAGATTTCCATGGGGGATGGAGCAGGGAACCCCTCAGCCCCAAAATTAAAGGGTCCAGATGGGTGGGTGAGGCTGGAAAGGGTGACATCCATAAAAAAGGGGGTGCTTGTGAGGGAAAGGGGTGCAAGGGGTGTCAGGGAGTTTGGGTGGCCCTGGGAGTGGATGCTGGTGTGGGTGATTATCCCCAGCTCTGGGTGGTCAYGGATTTGGGTGTCACTGAGGGTGGGTGCTGCTGTGTTTGGTTGGCTGTGAGGGTGAGGCCTCCTCAGAAGTGGGTGCCCATGGGGTGACCATCCCTAGGAATGGATTTCCGTCGGTTTGAGCATCCCCAGGATGAGTTTCCATGAGTTTGAGCATCCTCAGGGTGAGTTTCTGCGAGTTTGAGCATCCCCAGGATGAATTTCCGTGAGTTTGAGCATCCTCAGGGTGAGTTTCTGCGAGTTTGAGCATCCCTAGGTCATTTTGAGCATCCCTAGAATGGGTTTCTGTGAATTTGAGCATCCCCAGGAATGGATTTCCATSGCTTTGTTCACCCACGAGCAGGAG